ATAATGTGATGGGGAAGCAACACTAATGAGATTTCCACAATATGATCTGCATATAATAGCAAGATCTGCATATAATGACAAAACCAGGTGGCATATCAAGAGAGATGGGGGAAATTTCAAGGGTCATCTCAAGATGAAGAGCTACAAGCAATCAATGGATGCTGAGGGAGGGAGAGTCAGTTTTCTCAAGGGAATGCTCCTTTGAGAGTTTAGGTAATTCCAAGTGGGCAGCCCTAAACACAGGTACACAGGAGGACACAGGAGCACCACTAAATGAACTCAGTGGATTGTGTATAATGTAACAATAATAAAGAAGAAAGGAAAAAGTGTTTGCTGAGCACAAGCCGGAGTAGGCAAACGTTCCTCCACATTCCTTCCCTCCATCTTCTCACCTTGGGTTTCTGGCCTCAGTTCCCTTAAAGATGGACTATGACCTGGAAGTGTAAAATGAAATAAACTCTTTCCTCCTCATGCTGCTTTTGAACATGATGTTTATCCAAGCAACAGAAAAGACTAGAACAGTGTGTGAATTGGTGTATTTCTCCTTTGTATGTGAACTCACATGTTTTTCCTTCGCTTTTAGTATTGTTCTCTGCACTGTGTTTTTGACATAGTCACTATGTATGGAGAGGATCTTTTCTTTTCATATCTATTTGGAATTCTAAATGCTTCTTACATTTGTACATTGATTTCTTTCTCTACAGTTCTCAATTTTCTGCAATGGTGTGAGTGAATGGGTTATCTAAGATTTTTAAGTTTATCTCAGGTTTTTCTTCTACTACATGGATTCTTAGGCTTGTTCTCTTGACTGTGTCCCAGACTTCTGGAAGTATTGGTAATTTCCATTAGTTTTTTTCACTAATGTATGTCTGAATGTATTGTCTTGACTTTCTCCTATAACTGAAATTCATTCTGTTTGGTCTTACCTCTTGATGCTTTAAAATTTTTTTTAACTTGGTCAATTATTTCTTTTATATCCAGAATTTCTATTTGGTTCCATTGGAATTCACTGTCATTTGTGTTAAGGCCTATCATGTCAAGTTAGTGTCCTCAGATGTCCCTCAGTGTAAGTTCATCCACTGAGGTCTAGTCAGTCCCTTTAAGAAGATCAGCTTTTCCTCACCCAGCAGTAATCAGCTGCCAATAATTCTTTGACTAAGATTGGGGCCTGCTGCCCATTTCCACAGTTCTGTGCTGTTTTTTTTTTTTTTTTTTTTTTTCTGCTTCAGTTTTCATGGGTCTTGTGCATGCTGACACCATTGCTATAGGTTCATATAAGCAGGGTCCCAGGATCCTGTGGGACTCTATTTCCATATGGTCATGGACGTCCTCCTTCCACCCCCTCTTCCTCAATTGTCCCTGAGCCCTGGGTGGGTGGATTTTAATATGCTTTCCATTTCCCTGGTTCCTGCAGTTACATCAGGATATATACTCACATATAAGGACTTGGTGCTAGGATCCACAAATGAGGGACAACATACATTGTTTGCTTTTCTGAATCCCTAACTTCACTTAATATCACAGTTTCTAAATCCATCTACTTACCTGCAGATTTCATGATTTCATCTTTCTTTACTGTTGAGTAGAACTCCATTGTGTAAATGTACCATGTTTTCATTATCCACTTGTCAGGCGAGGGACACTTAGGTTGCTTCCATTTCTTAGCACCACTCGGAGGCCAGATCCAGGCACTCTCAGGTAGTCTATACCCACGTTTTGTAAATTTTTAATGACAAACTATTGTTTGATTTCATCAAGACCAATAAACTAGTTATGCCAATTAACTTAAAGTTGGAATTTCTTGGAGTAGCTGAAAATAAATCATAATAAGAATTTGACCAATATAATATGAATGAGTAACATTTGGGCAAACAAAACAAAATTTTCTTTTATAGTTTAATCAAAAATTTTTTGTTGGAAGGGTTTTCTATAAATTTGTAGAGATTAAAAAATCTATATTATGCCAGGCCTGGTGGCCTTTAATCCCATCCCTTGGGAGGCAGAGAGAGGAGGATCTCTGTGAGATCAAGGCCAGCCTGGTTCACATAATGACTTCCAGGTGGGCTGGGATTAGGGAGATCCTGCCAAAATAAAAACAAAAGCAAAAACAACCCCCACAACCCCCCCAAACCAAGAGAATAAAAACCCCACAAGTGCAACAACAATCTATATTACATCTAAAGCAGTAAGTGAACTATCTATTATCCTGGAAGGTCTGTCTCTTTCATGGTTTTAGGGCATGGTAAGCTCGTGTGTGACCCCATTTCTCCTGTACTGAAACTTTAGTACTAGACAAGTTTCCACTCAAGTACATTTTAGTAAAATAGAGCATTCCATATGCTGCTGTTGCTATAAACATCTTTATATTCTGAAATAAGTAATACTACTTTTCTTGGAAATGTCTTCTCTCCTAGCTCTTTTCAAGGGCATAATGCCTTCATTGTAGGGCTGTTCCACTGTCCTCCTTCATGTTAGCCTGTCCCAGGTGCTTTCAGCAGACATTTTGAGATGAACAAGCAGATCTGAAATGGGAGGGCCAAATCCTATCTCTAGAGCCAGCTTCTCAGTGTTTAAACAGCACAGAACAATTTTCTAGTAAAATTAAACTTAGTGGTTTGTACTGGTTCCTATCCTTATAACCGATATAGATGTTTCCAAATGAGTCATAATTTTCTGGGTTTTACAATGGGAATAGAATTTGACAAAAGTCAGAACACTGGGTTTTGAAAGGTCATTCTCTGTCTCATATCTTTAACTTCTGTAAGATAATGAGTACATGGCAGTTAGCACTCAAAATCAAGGAGAATCAAGCCAACAAAATTAAATGCCTTTACTATTGCCTAACTTGAATTTCTCCCTAGTATATTTGGGGTGATCAGATATAACTTATATCCACTATTAGTTTGTATATGTCAGACAATTAGAAAAATTTAAGTATCCTCTCTTTTATATTGATAATTTCCATTAGAAGCTATTTTTAGTTTAGATCCTCACCAGAACTGACTTTCTGTTTTTCATTATTTATTATTAATTAATTAATTTATTATTATTTATTTATTTATTTATGCAGGTTTGCTCTTGGCAAAAATACAATAAATTAGACTTTCAGGTTAGATAATCCCTGCCATCAAAAGCAGCTTCAGCTATTATATGCTCTTAGAAAACCACAGCATAGAAAAGCTGCTATTGTGGATGAAGCAGGCCAGGGTCCATTTCAGGCTGGCAGCCAAACTTGGTGTTGGCTTTAGAAGCAAGAAAGATGCAAGAGTGAAAGTGCCATCCATTCTACCTCTGTGGTTTCAGGTTGTCACAAAGGCCAGGGAGAGTACAGCAGGGCTATCCCTGCATAAAGGAGTTTCTGAATGGCCAAGAGGCCCTGGCAGGCCATTGTTTGAAGCTGTGAAGGTGAAGCCTTGTTGGCAGTGCAGACCCCAAGACAGGGCCATGAGACATCTGTCAAGGATAGATGCATACAGGGAGTGGTACCAGGCCAAGAGAGACATGTATATTGCATGCAGCAAAGCTGGAGGGGTTGAGTCATCTAAGCCCTTTGGAAGTACAGTCCCAGAAGTTGGACATGGAGCTACTGGATTTCGTGTTTACCCTGCCAGTTTCTGGTCTTGTTTTGGTCCAGTGTTTCCTCAGTCTGCACCCCATTCCTCCATTTTGGAATGGGAATGTGTATTTGGATCCATTGTATGTTGGAAGTATGTAATTTGTCTTTACATTTTACAGGGGCTTACAATTAAGAGATTGCCTTGAGTCTCAGAACAGACTTTGGACTCTGGACTTTTGAATAGTTATTGAAGCTGGTAAAGACTATGGGGACTTTTAAAAGGTGTGCAAAATGCATTTTGTATTTTATATGGTCATGAGCCCATGGGAACCAGGGAGTGGAATGTGTTGGTTTGAATGAGACGATCCCTCATAGGCTCCAAGTATTTGGACATTTTGTGTCCAGTTGGGTGCTGTTTTGGGAGACTTTAGAAGGTGTGGCCATACCGGAGGAAGCATGTCACTAGGAGCAAGCTCTGAGAGTTCTTAAGCCTTTCTGGATTTCTAGTTGCTCTCTGCTTCCTGTGCCTGCTTGAAGATGTGATTGCTTGGCTTTCTGCTCTGGCCACCTCTGTTACCATGCCTCCCCTGCCATTATGGACTCTAACCCTCTGAACTGTAAGCCAAATAAACTCTTTCTTCTATAAGTTACCTTGGTCATAGTGTCTTATCACAACAGAAAAGTAACTAATACAATGCTTAAGCTGTTGGAGATCAGAAGAAGCCACCAAGTGCTCTGAATACTGGACATGGAGCTATAGGATATTTGCCTTGCTGTGTTTTGGGGCTCACCTTTCTCTAACATTTTCTTGCTTTCCTGTTCCTCCCTTTGAAATGAGAATGTTAACTCTATGCATTTTATATTGGAAGTAGATAACTTTTATTTTCCACTTTACAGGGCTCACAGCTAAGAGATTGCCTTGAATCTCAGAAGAAACTCTGGATTTGGATTTCTGAATAGTATGGGAACTGTTAAAGCTGTGGAGGACTCTTAAAGTTGGACTAAATGCACTTTGCATTATTAAATTGCCAGGAGCCTTTGGGGACCAAAGGTAGCGTATTAAGTTTTAAATGTTTTGATCTTGATGAAGATAGTTTAGTAACAGAGGGTGAATAAAATTTGTTCTAAACCAATTATATACTTTTCTAAACCAACCATTTATATAGTTATATTATCCACTGATTACTCATCGATGTGAGGTGGGAGATGGACCAAAATAACCAAGCTGTACTCTCAGGAGATTCAGAGAAGTCAACCTTTACTTCTAGGTCCCTTTCCTATATACCTACTGTCTAACTCTGTGATAATTCACAGAAAGAAGAATAGGGGCTGCTGGCATTTGTAGTAACAGGATTAGAAAGTATGAGACTTCCTGTTATGTGTGTATGTGACAGCTGGTGATAAGTTGAGGGCCTTGCACAGGAAATCCGCTTGGTTTCTGCAATGTGACTCCCTGAAACTTGGCAACGCCTTCAGTCTGGATATTGACAGCAAGACAAAGAGGTGTCTGGACCATGAGCGACGTGGTAGAGAAGAGCTTGGAAGGACCCTTAGCAAGCACTACAGACAAGTCTTTCCAGAAAAGGGAAGACTTGGTGGAAATTTTAAATGGGGAGAAGGTAAACTTTGATGATTCAAGACTTTCCTTAATTCTTCAGAATGGCTTGGAGACCCTGAGAGAGGAAAATGCTCTGACAGATGTCATCTTGTGTGTGGACATTCAGGAATTCTCCTGTCATCGTGTGGTGCTTGCTGCAGCTAGCAACTATTTCAGGTCAGCCTACCTTGAACCAAAGTCAAACTGCATGCAAGTTGCAGGGAAAATTTCTGTAGATGTGAGAACTCAATCAAATTCACTTTCTATTGCATTTATGATCTATATAATATAACTATATATGCTATATAATTTAAATATGTATGTTTATATATATTAAGTTCTGTATGCCTACTTAAATACAAGAAAGGAAACTTCCAAACTTTGAGTTTGAATTTAGGCAAGAAAAACTGGTATCATTTAGAAGAGGTGTTTATTTACATTATGGTAAAGATATAAATGTGTCATTGATTTTTAAGGACATAAAATTGCTTAAGTCTCAGAGACTTTTCCTTTTTTCCTCAGTCTGACTAATATGTTGGAAACATGATGTTGTCTTTGTTCATCAAGAGAGGTAGAGAAAAAGGATGTGGCCTCTCTCTGGGGTTACCAAATGACTTGCTGAAAATTAGGCGTTTCTACTGCGTGGGGAGTGAACAATTAGAAATGGTCTTTCGATGTGAAAGGCTCCTGGAGTGTCAGAGTGGGATGATCCTGGCTCGGAAGATCTGATTCCATTTCACTCGGCTTCTTCTTGGCCACGAGGTTTTAGGCAAATATCTTAGTATTCTGAAGTCATGCTTTTTTCAGCTGTCGGATGAGGATAATAATAGAGGTGGCAGACGTTCCCTTTTTCAGATGACAAAATGGAAGCTCAATATTGCAGATCTAATCATTGCTGGAGCAAGGCACCTGCACATTCTATATCTTTGTCTTAACGGCAATACAAGTTGCCATTAAGTTTGGGGCTTCACTGTACAAGCCGTGTAAGTGCTAAAGCATAGGCATAGTCACAGCAATGGTCTGACTTAAGCACATTGCTTATACTGTCAGTACTGACTACTAACTTCCACTCTCAGGAGTGAATGGAATCCAGTTTGCCTCGGTGCACTGGGTACTTGTTTTAAGTTTATTCTTTATGCCCTGAGTCACTGGAAACTGCTATCGCTAAATGTATACGTGGTCGATAATTTTATAAGTGGGTTTGCCTGCCTACAGGACAGGACTGTTGGGTATTTGCCTTTGAAATATCACTTTCTCTGGTCCTTGGGTTTCTTCTCATAAATACAAAGTGTCTTATTTTAGGTCTTCTTGCTGATGTAAGACATGTAAGGCAAATCTCTGCTGGTCCTCAGAGCCAGCGGTGGTGTTGAGAAGCTGGGGGCACAATGAAGGTTTAAGTGTCAGTTTGTGGACACTGATTTTCCTGCTAAACCATGTGGTCTTGAAGGGAAGTTCTTTGTTACTCTTTCTTTAGATTTATATCTAGATATTTCCAACATAGTTTTCTTTCTGTAATGAACACAGTTCTGGGGACAAGATTCTGTTTTCTGGTGCTACTATTAGTAGTGACATCTGTTTGCTGAGCATTCATGTGGGACAGGCTGATTTAATGTGGACAACCACACGAGGTAGGATATCATCCCCATCTTATAGATGAGGAGCTGAAGTCCAAAAGCCAGGTAATTAAAAACAAACAAACAATAGAGCCAACTTGAACCAAGGACTAGCATGAGGTCTGACACTGACTCTTTGTTTTGCTTCAAGATTTTGAAAGGGATATGAGGCAAATTTCTCTTGGTCTTTGACTTAAGAAGACTGGAGTCTGCTTTGCCTGGGAGTCTTCCAGGACAGCCCTTGATGCTTTGGAGGCCTAGAGACTGGTTGTAAAATATTCAAGAGTCACCTGCCCAGTGACAACAAAATATATACTGTGCAACTATTTGCTATACTTATTGAACCATGCAATAGATCTCTAAAAACAAAACTTCGATATCTACCATCCTACTCTGCTTCTGTGAGTTGTTGTTTTACAGTCCACACAAAAGTGAGAATGTGTAATATCTGTCTCTTTGTCAAACTGTTGAAGTATTATTAGTTTGGTAGGTGAGAAGGAACATTACGTAAGTTTAAGTGTGCATATCTTTAATTTTAATAATCCCAGAAAATATCTTTTTTTGTGTTTACAAGTCATCGGAAATTCTTTTTCTGTGAGCTATCTCTTCAGAGCCTTTTGAATTTTTACATATGCTTTAAAATGAAAAGTTATTTTTATCAAAATAAGATATGAAAATAGTTAGCAAAGAGTCAAATTTGAGGCTCTCTTCCCCAGGTGATTCTAGACCATGTCGAGATGACAAAACTTACAAGCACAGCATTGGTCATTATCTTTGAATAATCACCAGATTAAAAACAGCTATCGCCACAGACTTCCTCTGCCTCTTGTTAAATATAAATTCCTTTTTATCTCTGTGTTCTCAGTCTTCTTCCCCAAGGGTGATGTTATTCTTGCAGCAGCATGATGAAAGTAGAAGACATCCTCCTTTATAGATGAAGATATGGGAGTCCATCATCTCTAGATTTCTCTAAAATATACAGCAGTTTCTTGGTTTCTCATTACTAGGTATTATACTAATTAATTTAGATACGGATTTAGAACTTAAATCAAACTTTCTTACTATATACTTCCCTATTGTCTCTCAAAACAATGTTGTTGTAAATTTCTACGACATTTTTCTGACTCTGTCGAGCTTACTTTTTTTTTTCTAGTGCTTTGGAGTAAACCTAGGACTGTGTACATGCCAGACAAGTACTAAGCTTCATCTGAAGCCTGAGTTTACATGAGTTTGCTCATCAAAATAGTATTCCTTATTGATCCAAATCATGCAATACAACATTTCTTTTCTGTGAGCCTTTTCTGAAGTTAACAACTTATTCGTATGGTGAGGGTGTGGCTCATTGGTTAAAACAGCTTGCCTAATATGCCAGGCTCTGTGTTCCATCCTTAGCATCAAAAAGTTAGTTCCCTCGTTTTTCCATTTGTTTGGCTTTTATAGTACCCTTTCCTATGGCCCCTCACAATGATCTTTCATGTGGGCTAACATATCAGGAATCAAGTCCATTTCCCCCAAAAATATTGGTTCTATGCCCCCCGCCCCAACCTCCAGTCGTCTAAGGTATGCCTCAATTCCTGATTCTTTCTAGAGCTCTATGGAGGGACCAGTTCAGACTGGCTGTCGGGCTTCAGCTCTTTCCATAGTAATCTTCCTTATTTTTGAAATTTCCTAGTCGACGAGAGCAATTCTGTGATGCTAAAAAATGTGGTCTGCTGCTGTCTCAGTCTGATGGGAGAACAATGCAGGTGTCAGTAAAACTAGTGGCCATTCTCCTTTTCTTAGGCTTTTTTTGGGGGCGGGGGAGTAATGTACATAAGCACTTTATGTAGGTTTCCTCTTTAATACTCATAATTCTTACTTCTAAGTGTGGTTACCACTCCTTTTTAATTTTAGTCTTTTTGAGACAAGGTCTCCCTGTAGCCCCAGCTGTCCTGGAACTCTCCTATGTAGACCAGGCTGGCCTTGAACTCACAGAGATCCGCCTGTCTCTACGTCCCGAGTGCTGAGATTAAAGGCATGTGCCCCCAAGCCGTCAACCATTCCTTTTTATAGAAGCTGAAACTAAGATTTCGACAGGCTGCAGGCCACCAAGCTGCCGGGAAACATAGTTTCCTTGGGCCGTATCTTCTCTTTTGCCCTCTTGCATGTAATACCCCTTGACTTTTTGTGACCATTTGCTCTCCCTACAGACTAAGCAAAATGCTGTGGAAGTCTTTGGCAATAGCTGTTTTTAACCCAGTGACCATTCAGAGATAACACCAGTGCTGTGATTGTTAGTTTCAGTTGTCAACTTGACACAATCTAGAATCACCTGGGAAGAGCACCTCAATGGATTGTCTAGATTGGGTTAATTTGTGGTCCTGTCTCTGTAGGACAGTCTTGATCATGTTAATTGATGTGGGACGACCCAGCCTAAACACAGGCAGCGCCAGTCCCTGGGTTTGGGCCCTGGACAGTATGAAAAAGGAGAAAATGATCTGAGCACTGGCAAGTGGGCACACATTCATTTCTCTCTGCTCTTGACTGTGGCTGTGATGTGACCAGCCCTTCTAAATCCTGACACCTTGATTTTCCTGCTATGATAGACTGTAACTTGAAATTTTGTGTTAAACCCTTTCTTCCCTAAGTTGCTTTTTTTGGGGGGGGTGGCGGGGCCAGGGTATTTTATTAGCATCTGGAGAGGAAACTAAGCCAAATGCCTTGTGTCACTTTTTATATGTGAGATTCTGTTTGACCACTGGGTGTTCCATTGTGTCTCTCATAGCTATCCTCAAACCTTAATCACACACATTGAAAAGTAGTTCCAGAAATTTCTTTGTGGTGCCAGAGAACGGATAGGATGGGAATGTGTCAGCTAAACAGGGGAAATACTAGTTAGTCAAACAATGAATTTCCCTTTGTGGGTCTATTTTAAAGTCGGGAAGAATAAGGATGTTGGAGGAAAAATATGTTTAGTTGAGACTAGGAAATAAATTAAAATAAACCTTAGAAAGCAGCTGATAGCATTCATTTAAATGTCAAGTAGCCAAATGTCAAGGCATCCAAATATTCTCACGGCAGCAAAGTTGGGTGAAACACAGATTTAACATTTAAAATGGCTTTTTACTTTATGAGATTATATGTTTATTAATAAAACTGCCATTGATGTTATGCTTTTTGAACAGACACTCCAAATCAAAGGAATCATAAGGGATTCTGTGTGCTGTACACTGGGCCCTACCCACAAAGCATTGCCATCTAACTAGTGGTTTTGCCATTTGAGTTCAAGTGACTGCAAAATATGGCCTATGATTCTCAGGACTGGCAGAAGGAAGGGAGTGATGGTGGAGAGGGAGGTGAACCTCAGCTTCTCTCAGTTCTCTCTGATGGCCGGCCTGTCCGATATGCACATCAAAGCTGCTAGGCCCAGGTAGAGTTAACAGCAAGTTTTTCTTTCTTTCTTTCTTTCTTTTTTTTGTTGATGTGTTTATTTTTATTTTATGTGTATGAGTGTTTTGCCTTCATGTGTGTATGTGCACAACATGTGTACAATGCCCATGGAGGCCAGAAGAAGAAAACTGGAGT